CCACGAGACTTCGAGCCATATGCGATTACAACCCACTTGTGTCCTATTACATCGGCACCAAATGTGCCACTGACGTAGCCTATATACAACGACCACGAGACTTCGAGCCATATGCTATTGCAACCCAACTGCGTCATAGTACGTTGACACCAAATGTGCCACTGATGGAGCCTATATGCACCGACCACGAGACTTCGAGCCGTATGCAATTACAACGCAACTGCGTCCTATTACGTTGACACCAAATGTGCCACTGATGGAGCCTATATACACCGACCACGAGACTTCGAGACGTATGCTATTACAACCCACTTGTGTCCTATTACATCGGCATTAAATGTGTCACTGACGGAGCCTATATACAACGACCAGGAGACTTCGAGCCACATGCTATTACAACCCAACTGCGTCCTAGTACGTTGACACCAAATGTGTCACTGATGGAGCCTATATACAACGACCACGAGACTTCGAGCCGTATGCAATTACAACCCAACTGCGTCCTATTACGTTGACACCAAATGTGCCACTGACGGAGCCTATATACACCGACCACGAGACTTCGAGCCATATGCTATTACAACCCACTTGTGTCTTATTACATCGGCACCAAATGTGCCACTGACGGAGCCTATATACAACGACCAGGAGACTTCGAGCCGTATGCTATTACAACCCAACTGCGTCCTATTACGTTGACACCAAATGTGCCACTGATAGAGCCTATATACAACCGACCTGGGTCCGATTACGCTGGCAACAAACGTGCCGCTAGTGCAGTTCATTGTTCAAAACGCTGTAATCCCAAATGAGCGGAGAAACCGATATAAAAACTGTGCATTGTATTTAACAGAAGGCAGCGAGAGAAGGTTCAGCGTTGTTCACTATATTCGTGCCTTGGACGCGCATGTCCCATGCAAGGTATCTTCACACAAAGTCGTATTCATCGGCTAAAATGTAATAGTAGTGCGAACATATAGTCTACTGTCGGGTAATTGAACGAGAGTTTTTATCTGAACAAGTTTTTTCTTTGCGTTTTCTTTACTGGGCTGGCATCCATGTCGACGCTACAATGAAGTGAAAATGGGAGTTTAAATTGCACCGAATAGCTTACTTTGGCACTCTATTCTGCACAATACCTCTGTTTGAGGAAAACTCCACGGCTCCATTTCGACAAGTTATCGATGAAAGGTAAGGAAATAGATCACCAGTACCAAGTGCAAGTGCAATATGGGGTACGGTTTGTTGACTTGTACTCGGATCGGCGGTAATCTCATCCTGACTGTCTGCGCAGGAAATAGTTATACTAAGCTGTCTCTTACCTTCGTAAGCAGGGCAGGTTGATGGGGTAGAGGCAACTGTGAAATCCGGTGAGGGTGAACGGCCAACAGCTAAATATCGAGGTAAACAGTTGCTTTCTTACCGGTAATACAGCATTGCACTGCCATCATGGGCACAGATACCGTTTGTGAAGCATTGACACAAATTGTACAACGGGCTCCTGATTGCACACGCAAACACTTTCGATGGTAAAGTAACCGATTGTGCGCACAGCGAACTGCGTCAATCACAACAGGCTTGCTGCATGTGAAGCACAAATCTGTGGGCGCCATAATTTTCGGCCAACGCGGTTGTTTCTTTGCACGTTGAAGGTCTGACGAATCACCAATTACTTCGTTAGTCCTTCGCAATAGCTCTTGATACAGTACCGAAAATCCGGATGGATTAACCTCTTCAGCACTTCTCAGACGATGTACAAGATGTGCAATTTTAGACGTAGATGGTTTCGTAACGGGGACTTTCAACGTCCGCAACGGCATGGACTCTGTGGGTAGGTTGTAGTCCGCCAGCCAGCGGATGCAAATAGGTATTTGGCCTGCAAATGGATGCACATATCAGAAACGGCTTACTTGTCGGATACGCGTGCTGCTTGTATGCCGCCATTAAATGCACACACGGAAGCCACATGGTTTCATAAAAAGGACAGGTACATGTTCCCAAGGAGCAATCGATGGTGAAGCGTTTTCCCTGGTGCGATATCTCAAACTGGAAGCGTCAGAAATTTTTATTCACATACCACTCCATCTCCAAGGTCCGAGTAAACTGCTTGTAACATGGGTTGTGCTAAATGGCGCATCACTAAGTTGCATGCGTACGTAGTTAGGAGGCAAACTACGCGGTGAACATATGCGCTGCCTTCTAGTAGCTGACGCCTGTCACAGAAAAACGCGGCATGCATCTGGGACTCTTTCAGGAGAACTTCCGAATGCGCCCAGACTTTGCGAACGGCTGCAACAAGGCCATCCGATGCATGGGTAACTTTCTTCAATCGCAAGTTGGCATTCTCAACTCGGTTGTTCGTTGTATTGCCAAAATGCACCAGTCCAGCTTGTGCGTGTTTCGCCCACGAGCGTTTTATGTACAACCAGTACAACGTAAGGTAGCGCACAAAGTGGGGGTCTGTTCTTTGAAGGAGCTTCAAATCTTGTTGAAATCTAAAACAAGAATATTACATATATAAAGAGATTTTACTCCGTCTCCGTGTCAGAAGTTGCCATGCGATGAAACAGATAACGCGACCGGTTAATGTTTGTCTACAGAAAGTAATGAAGATTTATCACTTACATGCTTCCTGATGGCTTGGCGGATGTGGAAGTAACACAACAAAATGTCGCATTGAAAAACGGCGCGCGCCGCACGTATTTGAGCGGCCATTTTGTCCATCATTATTGTGCGGACGGGAATATCATGACCCATGATATCCCGAAAAGCTTCGAACAACGTAAGCAATGATGCGTAATCTTCCCGACGCAGAAACGCATAAAATATTGGCCGGCCATACCCCATGCCGTCAGTTATTAAAAACTGGTATAGTTTGAAGCTGCAAGCAACAAGTAAGCCAGCTATCAATTCTTACTTCAAACGGTTAGTGCCATGAGTAGCGTCTACACAAACGACATGCGAGAATCGGCGGAAAAGTTCTATTTGTTGATGCCGAGCGAATAATACGTGTGTGCACAAGCCTTCCTCAGAAATAATTCGCGCAACTCCGTCTTCTTCCATAGACTTGATAACCTGAGGCAATTTTACTGCAGGAAATAAAAACTATCAAAATAAACTTACACTCAACGCCAGGTCTCAGTTTACGACGAACATTGCGGACATCATCGCTGGTAATATGCTTTCCGAATCGAACCTCGACGAACTGCTTGATGTCGCTTGTTGGGGTGTTGTAGCGGAAAAGGTCTACGGACTGAGTGAACTCATCGTCCGTCAGACGGCGATTGATGGGGTGTCGCTCAAAAAGAAGGCGATTAACTGGGTGATTGTGAGACAGATCGAACGTTGTGACTTTCAGCTTGCGTCCCGTTCTAATGAGGTTAACGCGAGCTTGGCAGTTAGTATCACGTGAGCTGAAAGATGTAGAATAATAGAAGCGAAATCCTACTAAACACGTCTCACTCCTGTACTTTTTGACTTCCGCCGAGCGCAGCGGACACATCGATAAATCACCTTGTCGTACTTCACCCGTGACAGGTTACACTTTTTGCTGCTGTAGCGTACGAAATTGACGTAATGAAGAAGCATAAAGTCTGAAAACAAACTATTAAATTCGTCAAAACTGTCAAAAGAACGCCCAAAGAAGATTCTCCGGAAATCAGACTCCATGGCGTACGATTTCGAAAATACTGTTTCTACCGCGTATCTGGTTTCCGACACATTTAAACAATTGCAATATCACATTTGCACAGAATTGAACAAAACTGCAGAGCCACAAAGATAGCCGGGAATCATGCCATAAAATCACAGGAAACTATTTATTGCGCACTAGGTTTTGCGGAGTAACGGTGCTGCGACTACGTCGCAGCTATGCCCGCGAAGCTGACAGGCTGCCCGGTAGTCGCAGTCCTAGCAGGGTACTTTAAAGATGGTGACGTTTGTTGATTGGTCAGACGGAAGTGAAACAATTGACCTCTAGACTCTGGCATTTTAATCTAGTGTAACCTTAAAACTGTGTTTTAGTGTGCTAAAAAGCTATTAACCGTTTGCCGCCGATTCGAATGCTTAGCAATACGGTTAGTAAAATGCTGTAAATTTGCTAACTTAATTAGACAAAGAAATTTCCACAACCTTAGGTCTAATATTGCACAGTGAGCGCATTGTGATGCTAAAAGTCAAAATAAGGTCGCCTGTTTTCATGGATGCTGCATTTAACTAATTCGCAGTCTTGGAAGTCCGTTAAAAACATTGGATTTCCGAAACTTATACCGTAAAATCTTTTTTGTGACAAGCTTGTTGTCACGAGCGTCCGTTATTAGTCCGTGGGTTATCTTTTATGCGTTTTCTTGGAGTCATGTCTAGATGTTGTTAAACGCAAAACAGAACACAGACGAGATGTGCAGCAAAACGGTTTTGAAATGAATGCAAACTGGTGTCCACTCAATCAGCTGGGCCCGCTGTGTTGCAAAATTGCTAATATCCAACTGGCGTTACTATGCGTCCACGTATCGATGGAGAAACATCGAAGTGTGTAATGCATGCAGCTATATTTGCCTTAAATATGCGCAACAGTAATGTAATATTGGCAACTAAAGTAGAAATCATTCACTACAAGGTATAAAAGACAAGCATACCGTTTCGGAGCCCATTTATTAAAAATTCCTGCCGTCCAATTTTAGTTTCATCCTGGACTATTTGATTAGTCTGCTATTGTGCCGATATTTTTAGCCTCGGAATTTTAATGTGAAACGCATTATTAATATAATGAAATAAGTAACACGGGATTTGTGAGTTTCATAGCAGTGCATTCATCATAGCAGACATAATTAAGTGGCTTCTTTAATAGCGAAGATTTTGTAAAATCATAGGAATCTTATGCAGCATTATTGTAGCTATGAATTAGCATTTTATCCAAACATATGTACAGCAAGCCCTCCCACTGAAGCGTGCTTTTGGCCACTGGCGTAGAAGCAAAAGGAGATAAGGATAAATGTCTTTATATGTCCATGGATATTGTTAACTAATATTCTAAATAATTATCGGCGCTGTTTAGTGCGTTAACTCCTTCTTTTTAACCGTACTTTCGGTCAGCACAAGTGACTTTTAGCGCGCCATGTGTGACGAATAATCCGTCACTGTGTTAGTACGTACTTACTAGTCTATACTCGATTAGCGCGAAACGTTGACGGAATATGCATCCCTTCAGCTCGAGCAGCGAAAGCGTGTGCCGTCGTGTGAGTGTTGTAACTCCCTAAATGACCAGACTTTTGGCCCTCAGCAGTGCAAATGTACACCTTATGGACGACCTTTTGGTCACCCAGTATATCTTCCAACGCCGCTTGAACTCCAGCAACAAAATTTCATGGTAAAAATATCGTAAACACTAAGCGGAAAGCCACATATTAATTACAATTACGCAATGCAGTAGCCGCAAACCCAAAACCTAACTTGATTTTCAATTACCAATTCTCGGCCAAACGACCACGAGACTTCGAGCGGTGTGCTATTACAACCCACTTGTGTCCTATTACATCGGCACCAAATGTGCCACTGATGGAGCCTATATACAACGACCACGAGCCGTATGCTATTACAACCCACTTGTGTCCTATTACATCGGCACCAAATGTGCCACTGACGTAGCCTATATACAACGACCAGGAGACTTCGAGCCACATGCTATTACAACCCAACTGCGTCCTAGTACGTTGACACCAAATGTGCCACTGATGGAGCCTATATACAACCGACCTGGGTCCGAGTACACTGGCAACAAACGTGCCGCTAGTGCAGTTCATTGTTCAAAACGCTGTAATCCCAAATGAGCGCAGAAACCGATATAAAAACTGTGCATTGTATTTAACAAAAGGCAGCGAGAGAAGGTTCAGCGTTGTTCATTATTTTCGTGTCCTTGGCGCGCATGTCCCATGCAAGGTATCTTTACACAAAGTCGTATTCATCGGCTAAAATGTAATAGTAGTGCGAACATATAGTCTAATGTCAGGTAATTGAATGAGAGATTTTATCTGAACAAACTTTATCTTTTGCGTTTTCTTTACTGGGTTGGCATCCATGTCGACGCCACAATGAAGTGAAAAGGGGAGTGTCAATTGCACGGAATAGCTTACTTTGGCACTCTATTCCGCACAATACCTCTGTTTGAGGGGAACTCCACGGCTCCATCTCGACAAGCTATCGATGAAAGGTAAGGAAATAGAGCACCAGTACCAAGTGCACGTGCAATATGATGGGTTACTGTTTGTTGTCTTGTACACGGATCGGCGGTAATCTCATCCTGACTGTCTGAGCAGGAAATAGTTATACTAAGCTGTCTCTTATCTTCGTAAGCGGGGCAGGTTGATGGGGTAAAGGCAACTGTGAAATCCGGTGAGGGTGAACGGCCAACAGCTAAATATCGAGGTAAAAGTTTGCTATCTTACCGGTAGTACAGCATTGCACTGCCATCATGGGCACAGATACCGTTTGTGAAGCGTTGACACAAATTGTACAACGGGCTCCTGATTGCACACGCAAACACTTTCGATGGTAAAGTAACCGATTGTGCGCGCAGCAAACTGCGTCAATCACAACAGGCTTGCTGCATGTGAAACACAAATCAGTGGCGTCATAATTTTCGGTCAACCCGGTTGTTTCTTTGCACATTGAAAGTCTGACGAATCACCAATTACTTCGTTGGTCCTTCGCAATAGCTCTTGATACAGTACCGAAAATCCGGATGGATTAACCTCTTCAGCACTTCTCAGACGATGTACAAGATGTGCAATTTTAGACGTAGATGGTTCCGTAACGGGGACTTTCAAAGTCCGCAACGGCATGGACTCTGTCAGAAGTGGCATGCGATGAAACAGATAACGCGACCGGTTAATGTTTGTCTACAGAATGAAACGAAGATTTATCACTTACATGCTTCCTGATGGCTTGGCGGATGTGGAAGTAACACAACAAAATGTCGCATTGAAAAACGGCGCGCGCCGCACGTATTTGAGCGGCCATTTTGTCCATCATTATTGTGCGGACGGGAATATCATGACCCATGATATCCCGAAACGCTGCGAACAACGTAAGCCATGATGCGTAATCTTCCCGACGCAGAAACGCATAAAATATTGGCCGGCCATACCCCATGCCGTCAGTTATTATAAACTGGTATAGTTTGAAGCTGCAAGCAACAAGTAAGCCAGCTATCAATTCTTACTTCAAACGGTTAGTGCCATGAGTAGCGTCTACACAAACGACATGCGAGAATGGGCGGAAAAGTTCTATTTGTTGATGCCGAGCGAATAATACGTGTGTGCACAAGCCTTCCTCAGAAATAATTCGCGCAACTCCGTCTTCTTCCATAGACTTGATAACCTGAGGCAATTTTACTGCAGGAAATAAAAACTATCAAAATAAGCTTACACTCCACGCCAGGTCTCAGTTTACGACGAACACTGCGGACATCATCGCTGGTAATATGCTTTCCGAATCGAACTTCGACGAACTGCTTGATGTCGCTTGTTGGGGTGTTGTAGCGGAAAAGGTCTACGGACTGAGTGAACTCATCGTCCGTCAGACGGCGATTGATGGGGTGTCGCTCAAAAAGAAGGCGATTAACTGGGTGATTGTGAGACAGATCGAACGTTGTGACTTTCAGCTTGCGTCCCGTTCTAATGAGGTTAACGCGAGCTTGGCAGTTAGTATCACGTGAGCTGAAAGATGTAGAATAATAGAAGCGAAATCCTACTAAACACGTCTCACTCCTGTACTTTTTGACTTCCGCCGAGCGCAGCGGACACATCGATAAATCACCTTGTCGTACTTCACCCGTGACAGGTTACATTTTTTGCTGCTGTAGCGTACGAAATTGACGTAATGAAGAAGCATAAAGTCTGAAAACAAACTATTAAATTCGTCAAAACTGTCAAAAGAACGCCCAAAGAAGATTCTCCGGAAATCACACTCCATGGCGTACGATTTCGAAAATACTGCTTCTACCGCGTATCTGGTTTCCGACACATTTAAACAATTGCAATATCACATTTGCACAGAATTAAACAAAACTGCAGAGCCACAAAGATAACCGGGAATAATGCCATAAAATCTCCATAAACTATTTATTGCGCACTAGGTTTTGCAGGGTAACGGTGCGTTTCTGACTTGTGACACATTTAAACAATTGCAATATCACATTTGCACAGAATTGAACAAAACTGCAAAGCCACAAAGATAGCCGGGAATCATGCCATAAAATGACGG